GTCCGTAATTTTCCCGTGATTGTTCCCCTCTTTGTTCACAATCTGAAATCAAACAGCACCTCTTCTCCAAAGAAGAGAGCCAGGCCTAATTTTCCTGCATTTCCTTGGCACAGGAGCTACATCAGAAGAAGGAATCACCTGTGTGTCTGCAGCTGCCTTCGCTGTATGCTGATGCTTGGCTTGAAACCTCCCAACATTTTGAGACTGGTCCTGCCACTGTGCAACTGAGAGCCAGTTTGGTGTAGTGGTTAAGTGCGTGGACTGTAATCTGGGAGAACTGGGTTTGATTCCCCACTCTTCCACTTGCACCTGGCTGGATGACCTTAGGCAAGCCATAGTTCTGATAAAGGCTGTTCTTGAAAAAGAGCAGTCTCTGTGAAGAGCTCTCTCAGCCCCACCCACTTCACAGGTTGTCTGTTGTGGGGAGGGGAAGGGAAAGGAGTTTGTAAGCCGCTCTGAAACACCTTTGGGTAGTGAAGGACGGGATATAAATCCAATCTCTTCTCTTCTTCTTCTTCTTTTATGGCAGCCATTCCAAGATTGGATCCACTTCCATGACAGCCATTTTGTAGTGTACCTCATTTTCCTACCATCTCAGGCTGAACAAGGCTGGGGATGCTTGCTAGGATACCAGAAGAATATTCAAGCAACCATTAAATCAGCTTTAATTATGGATCCTCAAAGGGCTGTTCAGCAATAAGACATGTACATTCTTAGAATTCTGAAGTCTCAAAGCAAAAATTGTTTTGAGTCATATGGTCAAATATACTGCTAATTTTATTATGAATATACCTAATTCTCAACATGTCCCCAACTGTGGATACTTAAATCCAGAGACTCCGGCAATTAACATACAAGACTGATATTTCTATAAGCCTGAGAAAAGCCTCAGGTCTAGCCTAAGTCACATAGTCCTGTAGGTAGGCTGGCAGCTGGCGCTCTCGCAGGGAACGCCGAGGTGCCGGAATGGGGTCAACTGTGACCAGCTCTGGGCGGTCGTCCTGGATACTCTGCAGCGGCGGCTCTTCTTCTGGTTCGGCGGGGCAACGGCCATTGATGGGGTTTGAAGTGGTCCGCTGGGTTAAAAGGAAACAGGCTAGTCAGAACTCCCCATCCCCATCCGAGATCCAGCTTAGGGCTTCTTTTGCCATCCACACCATCCACTCTGCCTGTCCGTTGGTTGCGGGGTGGAAGGGTGCAGACCTCACGTGTCGAATTAAGTTCCTCCGGAGGAACTCTTGGAACTCCTCCAAAGTAAAGACCGTTCCACTGTCGGAGATTATAGTGTCTGGCAATCCATGGGTCGCAAAGATCCGGCGCAGTGCGCGGATGATGGCCTTTGAGGACATGGTGGTGACGGGGCTAATCTCCAACCATTTGGAGTACGAGTCCACGGTGACTAAGAAGAGCAGTCCTTGAAAAGGGCCAGCGAAATCTATGTGTAGCCAGGACCACGGTTTGTGGGTGGACTCCCAGGTCTGAGTGGGTACACTCGGTGGATTCGGGCAGACCGCCTGGCATGCCTGACATCTCCGCACCCAGGACTCAATCTCTGCATCGATCCCTGGCCACCATACATAGCTCCGGGCCAGGGCCTTCATCTGGACTATTCCCGGGTGGGCCTTGTGTAGTGCGGTGTGGACAAGGTGTCACAGGACGTTAGGGACGACGACTCTATCCTCCCACAGTAGGCACCCTTTGTAGGCCGAGAGTTCATTCTTGCAGGTAGCGAAGGCTGTGAATTCCAGACCCACGGAGCAATGTTCCCTCTAAGCTGTAGAGTCTTGTGAGCAAAAATTCTACTTTGTGAGCTACTGGCATTAAAGTTGTGAGTAAGCAATTTGGCTTCTGCAGAAATTAGGTTGCTCTGGAGCCATCCCTTCCTGAGCAAAGACAAAAAGGTGTGAGTTGGAGGCTAAAAAACTGTGAGCTAGCTCACACTAACTCAGCTTAGAGGGAACACTGCCGCAGAGGCCGCGGGCCACTCCCTCACCACCCTGCCCCAAACCCAGGAAATGACAAGGTCTCCAGCTGAGCGCCTGGTGACATCAGCGGCTTGCAGGGGCAGTTCGGGGAGGTCCTCAAGCAGGAGGATCCAATGGGTGGGAGCCGGGTCGGCATCAACTGAAGGGAGTGGCAGCCAGCTGAGGACATCTGCATGCCCCATTGCTTTCCCTGGGCGGTATTCCAGGCGATAGTTGTAGCCCACCAAAAAGAGGGACCAGCGGAGGACCCACGGGGAAAGAACCTGGGGAGTCTGTTTGTCGGCCGTGAAGAGTCCAAGAAGCAGCCAGTGGTCCATCACTATGGTGAAGGGTCATCCGTACAAGAAGTTGTGAAACGTCCTGATACCTGCCACGATCGCCAGGCCCTCCCTATCAATCTGTGCATAGTTCTGCTCTGCAGCCGACAAGGTCCTACAGTAATAGGCCACGGGAACTTTGTGGCCATCAGGGAGTTGGTGACCCAGCATGGTGCCCACGCCGTAAGGGGATGCGTCGCAGGCCAGAATCACCCACAGGGATTTATCGAAATGCGCAAACACTGTGTTTGAAATTAAGAGCGCCTTGACCCCCCTGAACCTCCCGAGGGCCCCAGGACCACAGCACTTTTTTGTCCAATAAGTGGTGCAGCGGCCGCCACCTTGTGGGGGAGGGAGGCGTGGTAGAAATTCAGTAGGCCGAGGAACGCCTGAAGTTCCACCTTGTACTTGGGTGTAGGGGACTCGATGACGGCTTTGACCTTGTCCTTCACCGGATGGAGGCCATCCGCATCAACCTGGAACCCCAAGAAGTCAACCACGGGGACCCCTAGGTGGCACTTCTCCTGCTTCACTTCAACGAGTATCCGCCTCATAGTGTGCGATGGCCCAGCAGCGCTGGGGCAGCTGCATGTGCGGGGCATGGCCCCCCCTGGACTGGCAAGCCCATGCGATGTGGCCGGAGCGCCCGCAGTTCCGGCAAGTGGCGTCCCTGAACCGACATGTCTTACGGTTGTGTTCGTCTCTGCAGCTAGTGCACTCTGGTCTGGCGGAATCCTCGACCTGGGTGAAACGCGGGCCCAACCCAGTCTCCTTTTGTCATGGGGGTTGTTGGGTCCGGTAGACCTCCTCACAGTCGTTGTCACCAATGTCAGTACCTGCTTGATGTGTGGCTGTGGACCGATGGCTGGCTGGTTGCCCGGCGGCTGACGGATGTGATCTTTCCCATGCGGTGGCCGTGGAGAAGGCGGAAGAGAGAATACATTTCTCCGTCTCCATGATCCGTCACCAGAGCTTTTCCTCTTGGAGGCTGCAGATGAAGCGGTCCCTGAGAGCCGTGTCTAAGTGAGTCCCGAACTCACACTTGGAGGTGAGGCGGCGAAGCTCTGCCAGAAAATTGGAGGCGGACTCCTGGCCCTGTTGGTTCCTGAGGTGGAAGGCCACGTGGTGTGACATCTCCGATGGTCACGGGATGAAGCGATTTTGAAGCTCTGTCATGATCTGCTCGAACGTTGCCTCTTCCAGGGTCACTGGGGACAGGAGGTGTTGAGCCAGATCTATGATTGTGGGACCACATGAGTTGATGAGGAAGCCCTTCTTCCTGGCCTCGTCTGTGACCTGGTAGAAGGTCAGGATGGACTTGAGGCCAATGACCCATGCTCCCCATTGATGTGGACGGGCTGGATCGAATAGGGGAACCAGCCTCATTCCCGGAGCGACTGCCATCCTACTGCGCAGTTGAGGCAGGGAAGCGGCTTGCTCACCTTCGTTGCTCATCATCGTGCATTGTCTTCCGTGGGTGCCTGGCAGTTTGGTTCGCTCAGCGGGCCATCCTCATTGCCAATGAAAAGTACTGGGTTCTATGCATGGAGAGGTGGACTACGACATGCTGAACAAGTCACGTTTATTGTAGACACACACAAGACAAATACTGGCCAGCAAGGGCCAACTATATACACCCACCCCAGACACACCCACAGTCCTATTGGAGGGTTTAAACGTCCCGCCAAAGGTCCAATTGGAGGACTAAAGGTGACCTAGGAGTCTTGGCCCCTATTGTGTTAGGAACCAAGCTGGGGACACAACAGTAGGTAAGGTTCAAACTTATAGCCTTCTACAGTAGCCACTGTGGCAGTTGCTAGGCAACATCAACAATCCTCCCAGCAGATAAAGTTGGTAGGTGGGAAGGAGAGAAGGAAGTAGAGAAAGAAGAACTAGTGGGGGGAGGGGGATAACAGAAAAATGAAGTGCCCCCCTGCAATTCCTTGCAGGCTCCCCACTGCACAACTGGGCCCAGTCTGTCCTGCTGACTAGCACTGTGCAACGTAGCCAGATTTTTTCAGGAGAGGAGCCACCAGAGGGACGAAGGAAGGGAAAGCTGAAGACAAATAAAGGTAGGAGACAGATAAAGGTAGGTTGGCTTGTGGTGGGAAGGACAAAAGGAAGCAAGAGAAGGGGAGAGGTTATGGGGGCTTTCAGGGAAAGAAAATAGGTAATAGTGGGGGAGGGGAAATGACATCCTCCCTTCACAAGAGTCAAGTCCACCACTTGTTCCACCTAAAAGCCACTTAAACATCAAGTTTACAATCCAGGCAGACAAATGGGGCAATGCGCAGACAGGATAGGAATTTCCTAATATTCCTAATATTAGGCATGCAAAAATATTATGTCATAAACAATAAATGAAATGTACCAATGAAAGCAGAACATGCTTTTCAGAGGCACAGAATGCGGACAACTGAGAATATGTTTAAAGGAGATGGAAACGGAAACATAACAAAATCAGGCTGCAAAAGGGGGCAAATCATTCACCTAGAGCTTCAGGAACCAGACAGGCAATGAGGGGGCTGCTCCTACAATCTGCAGAGTCCTATCACCGTCCCCAACCAGTTTCACTTAGTACTTTATCTTCCTTCCACATGAAGAAAAACGCAATCACAGATGATCATGAGAACTAGCCTTTTCTTTGATCTGGAATGGTATGCCTATAACACAAAAGAGAATATATTTTACTACTTACCACTAAAGCGTTTTTTCCCAGCAGCATCATATTTTGACAGAGGATCAGAGTCACCATTGCTGAACTCTGGAAAGCCAATTTCAGGCAGTGCTTCCATAGTGGTGGTGGTAGTAGTCGTGGATGGAGGCAAAGTGGTCTCAAAAAACTCATAATCTAGGCAAAAAATGATGAAAAACATCAGTTCTTATAAATGTAGTGTAGGTTGAAGAATGTAATGTTTAAAATGCCCTGGCTCATTCTAGTGCAAGAATACACTCAAGGATTAGAACTGTTAGCCATTCATTTCCCCAGCCATATTAGTACTCTATTCCCAAGAAGTGTGATTGGAAATTACATTAGTTGTCATCACAACACATCCTTTGCCAATGTGATATGTCCATTTTGTTCTTTAAACTGTGTTTCATATAAGACAAATTTTGCCTCCTCTAATACATGCAAATTATCAAAACAATATGTGCCTTAAACAGGTACTGGGTAGATATGGAGCTCTTTTATAATTTACTACATGGCAGATGTAAAGTGGTGTGAGCAAAGGACAGTGGCTAGAATTCAACAAGAAGAACATGAGTGTGCTATCTCTAGTAAGGCAATCTGGAACTAGTGCAGTTTAATTAACAAAGTGTTGGCCTTAGACTAGGATACCAGAGTCCAATACTTTGTTCAGCCATGAAATTTCCTGGATGGCCTCAGGCCTCATCAACCTATCAACTGACAGGGCTGTAGGCATAAAATGGAATCAGCTCTATAGATACCACTCTGCACTCTTTGGAGGCTGGACTAGAGATGTGAAGGCCCAGAAAAAACCCGGAAAAAATTGGGGGGGGGGGAAACCTGTTTTTTCCCTGAAGCCTTTTTTGTTTTTTTCCGAAAAACTGGAAAAATTGAAAAAAGAAAACAAAAAAAATGATTATGGATCATTTTATTTTAACATGATGAATAAAATATTTTAAGACAAGGTGTTCAAATAATTGTTACTTCTTGATTTTTAAAAATTGTTTTGTGGAGGTTTTTTTGTCTGTTCCACATAAACTAGTAAACAGTTTAGGAGACTGTTGCTCCATTTATTACAATTACAAATAAATAGTATTAAAAAAGTAAATTATCTTTGTAATAATTCCTTGGATACACTATATTTTTAATATGCTAGTTGTGATAATTTCATGCCAAATAAAATTGTCCATAGTCATATTTTATGTTCCTAAAGTAACAGAATGACTTTCAATCTGGAAAAGAAAAAAGAAAAAAGTAGCATTTTTTCAATTTTCCCGAAAATTTCTGTTTTTTTCTGGGGGGGAAATGGAAAAAACCTGGGTTTTTTTCCGAGCTTCAAAATTTCTGGAAATTTTACATCTCTAGGCAGGACACAAAAATGGTAAACAATATTGACTTGTGCCCAAACTATGAGAATACTATAGTTGTAGGTTTAAACACAGATTAATCACAATCATACAGAAAGAAATAAAACTGGATCAGATCCAATTTTTAAAACCAAAGAAGCTCATGGATAGTGGGTGCTAGCCCCGCTGCCTGCTTAAAGCTTATCTCCTCATAATCTGTTCCCTTCCCCAACCACAGCATTTTTTTCCTCACAAAAGGACAGTGGGAAGGACAGGAAGCTTCTGAATTCCTCAACCATTCATGTATATTTAGCTAATAAAATGGACTCCCTTATCCCTCTCTTCTCGGTCAATGGATCTGCCATTGCCATGTCTAGTTTGTGCTTGGGAATACTGAGAACAAGTTTCCTTTTTCAGGTACATTTATGTTTGCTGGGACCCATCTGTCAGATGCCAGGGCATTCTTGGGAATACTTTTCTGCAAGAGAACAAGAAAGAACTGTGACCCACCACATTTATTTTTTTAGAAAAAGGAATGTCCAGTATAATTACCTTCATCATATACCACATATGACTCCGTAGTTGCCACCACATCAGCATCATGTCCTGAGAATATATCTACGGAAGGAAGAAGACATCCAAACAATGAACAGACACTCTCTTGGCCCATGATTTTATTTAAAACAAATTACATATACTGTAATGAATCAAACAATAACACTCCTTCTAGATATGACTCCCTTTGAGGTCAGGGAAGTTTAAAAAATGATTTGAAAAGGAATCGGTCCTAAAAAAATTAGATGTAGTGTTAGTAAGCTTCTGGGGACAATTTATATCAGTTATCCCAAGTAAGTGCTTTGTTCATATACTGCCACTAAATAACAAGCAAAGTTTAGAAAGCACAAATACAATACTACGCATAAGCGTAGTAATATACACATATACACATAAACACAATACACATTTAAATAGACACAAAACTGAATAGGGATGAGTGGATGTCCACCACTCCATCTCACTATTGTTACACATGTTGGTTGAGTCCTGCATGCTGTGGTGTCTTTGTAACTGATGCATCCATGGCCGTGTTGTATAGTTCATGTCCTTTCTTTGCTTCAGATTACTAATGTACACAGATGTATATGCACATTGATTAAAACATTGCTCTGTGAGACAAAGCACCCTGATTCCCCTCAAAGGTTAATATAATTATTAGCAGGCCTACTCTGGCTTGCAGGTATCCATAACGGGGCTTTCCTGCTG